CACTCCAAATGGGCATCCTACGACTTATCACGGTCTTCCTACCGTGATAACGGACGAGAGCTCTCAAGGCAAAGGCGTGGTGGAAGTCGGACAGCAACTTCCAGCCTCATGTGTCTCCTTGTGGTTGGAGACCTCCTGATCCTCACACCACCCCTGCAATGTCTAGCCCAGGTGTTTTTGCCCTGGAAGCCCCACCTGTGCTGGAAGAGCTCCTCCATAACACTGCTCCGTTGGCATCGCCGAGCGCCGCAGGGGCCGGCAGTGGGTGCACCAAGGATGACATCAATCTGAAGTCATCATCCTGCCAGCCTCGGGAGAGCAGACTTGGAGGAGGCAATGCCAGGGCAAGTCTCTGCCAAGGAGAGCATCATGGTGATGCCATCGGATTCCAGTGTGGCTCCCGGAGCCTGTGGCTGCCTTCCCAGTGACGCTGGTTTGGGGTGTTCCAGGTGCAGGGTGTCCCCAAACACCCACCCAAGGCCCCCATGCTGGTGTCCCTTGGGATTCAGGGCTATCACTGGACACCTTGGTCCTCTTCCTGCTGGCATCTGGGGCTGGTGGCATCAGCATCTCCTCCTGGAGAGGGACATCTTGAGCCACTGCCACTGGGAGTGAGCCCGGAGGATGCAGCAAGGTTTTGGGGTCTCTACTGCTGGAAAATATCACTGCTTTGGGGAAAATGGTTGTTTTTGTGGCTCCAGCAATGGGAAATCTGAAACTTGTGTCACTGTGGGAATTATTTCTCATCTGGAGGGAGGAGGAGACAAGAAGAGCAGCAGCACCTTCAGGTGCTCACACAGCCTGGACGAGGAGCAGCTCTGACGTGTGCTCAGCCAGGACAGGAGCACTTGCTTTCCAAACTCATGGGTCCAGCAGTGGATGAAGCCAAATAGCCTGGATTAAGTGTTGGGAAGGTATTTTTCCTGTCCCCTCACTCCATGCTCACAGGAAGCCTTCAGGACTGAGCGGGAAGTTTGGGTTGTGCTGAGCATCCTCTTACCTGACATGTAGAAATATATCCCTGGGTTTTACATACAGCCATCCCTGCCAGCACTGCTTTCCTGCCTTCCTGCCTTCCTGCCTCCCTTTCCCTCCAGCTGCTGGCGGGCACAAAGCCAGGCTCATTCCCTGCTCCTGCTGCTGCTGTCAGGCCATGGGCACCCGGCATGGGGGGAACCACGGCCACCCCAAGCGTCCCCAGGAGCTCCCACCAGTCCCCAGCAGGGCTTTGAGCACCCCTGGCGTTATCCAGCTGGCTTTGCTCCAGGATTTTGCCAGAAAAAAACCTTCCCTGAGCCCCAACAAGGCCGGGATTTGCCACTGAGCTGTGCCGATGGTGAGTAATGTTTAAAGAGACGTGGCCTCGGAAGAGCTCCCTGCACCCTGTGTCCTGCACACCTCCAGGGCCGGAGCCAAGCTTTGCTCTGCTGGGATCTGCATTTTAATTAGGCTCGTGGATTTTCCTTCCAGGCTTGTTGTAGTCAGGTCTCCCTGCTCACTCCCTTCCCGGAGCCCCTGCGTCTGCAGGGCTTGCGAGCGGTTTTCCAGAGGTATGCTCCGTCCCGGCTCTCCATTTATAGAAAGGAATTAAGGAGAAATGAGGGAGCATTGCTAAGAGGATTTGCACTGCGACTTACTCAGTTTCTCCAAATAATTTGCAGTAGCTCTGGATTCTTTAATCAACACTCATTTCCTTTTGGAAATGAAAGAAGCGGGAAGGCGTCGCGCTGCTCCTGAGCCAAGCTTGGCTCTTCGCCTCCGAACGGGACATGTTGGAATCAGAGCCTGAGAGCATAATCTGGGGAGACCTGATGGGGGGTGAGGGTGTGTGTGACAGAGGGAAGTGTGTCTTGGGGCTCAGAGAGTCTCTGTCGCCCTGTCCCACTCCTTCCATGCAGTTTTGGGCTCCTCTGTCCCTGTCTGGAGCTGGCGGCCGCACACCCGGACGCGTGACGTGAGCCATGGACGGGGGGTCACCCCGCTTGGGGACTCTGTCCTGCTGTGGCCTCTGCTTGTGGGAGGGGCTGGGATGAGTCTGGGGTTGGGGATTCCCATGGGGTTAGTCCAGATCACCCCAAGGGCTGGCAGAGCTCGTTGCCGGTGGGATTCGGCGCTGAATTCCCATGGGACAGGGCTATGGTGGCCCATCAAGCCGTGGGCAAGAGACCTTCCACAGGTTCCTGGGAACCATCTGGGTGTCGCAGAGGGAGGAAAAGGCATCTGGGCAGGTCCTACTGCTCTGGGACAGATAGTCCCAAACTGCTCCTCTCCCAAATGGCCTGAGCCTTTCTATGCTCATGCCAGTGGGATTTCCTTGCTCTGCTCAGTGGTGGAAAGCTAACAGTGCTTGTAGCATTCCCAGCCCTTGCAGTGTTCCCAGCACTTGCAGCATTCCTAGCCCTTGCAGCACCCATGGAGCCATTCTCCAGCCTGGCAGAGCCCCGTGCCCAGCCCTGTCCCAGGTCCTGCCCCACTGAGCTCTGTCCCACCGGGGTGTCGGGATTGCAGCGTCACCCCTCAAACCTCCCCTTGTGCAATGGCCCCTCCGGCCTCTCCTCCCACTTCCCTCCGGGCCTGTTGCACAAGAGGAAACCCCGGGGTTTCCTGTCCTGGCAGCAGGGTGGGGTGTGGGACAGCCCCATGTCCCCTGTGTCCCCTGCCCTGTTCCCTTTGGGCACCCGTGGGCGCAGGGATGGGGGCTGACATCCCTCCATCAGCACAAAACCAGAGCTGGAGCAGAGCTGCCCAGGACGTGGCCTGGTGGGTCAGAAGGTGCCCTCTTAGGTTAGAAGCTCATAATTAAATTAAAATTCAAATTCCATCAGCTGCAGGAGCAGGATGGTGTTAGGAAGCAGCGCCGGGGAGTCGGGGTGAAAGACCCCTTGTAAGAAAGAGGTCAGGGCTCACTGTCCAGGCAGCCCCAATTTTCCCTCCTTCCTGACCCAGTTTTGCAGCCAAATCACCCTCCATGACCCCGCTGATCCCTTGGAGGTAACACTTCCAGCCTTGGTCCCTCGCTGCTGCCCCGTGTTTCTCTGCTTTCCTCATGTGGGCACTGCCAGAGCTGCTGGAGAGGCACTTTGGGCATCTCCGAGTGGCTCCCGGGATGGGACCCCTGCCCTGCCCTCCTGGGAATGCAGTGGGGACATGGGGTGTCCACAGCAACCAGGACAGGAATGTGGGATCCTGCTTTTCCCTGGAAAACCTTTCTGCTGTCCACACAGACATCATGTGTGCTCCAAACGGAGTGGGGGGCTTGGGGATGGCTGTTGGGATACGGGCATCCCCCAGGCTGTTGGCACTGTTGGGATGTGGGCATCTTGCTCCAAGCCTCTGGGACACGGACATCCCTCTCCAGGCTGTGGCTGCTGGCAGAGGCACCTTCCTGATGGTTTATTTGGGATTTTTTTAATGCTGAATTGATTTTCCTGATATGCTGATATGGTTTTCCTGACGAGGGGCTGTGGTCTCTGGGATGGGCAGAGCTGCAGAGGTGACTCCCACCTTTGTCCTCATGTGCTGGGAACCTGTTGCCTCCATCCAGCTCCTCAGGAAGGGGTGTTTGGTGGGGTCAGGACTCTCCATTGCCGATGTTCCTTTCAGCCCTCCTTAAAAAACCAAGCTGAGATCCAGGTTCTGCTCTGGGTGCCTGGGATGGGTGCCTTGCAACTGGCAATACAGGTCTCCTGACACCCCAAAATACACCTCCAGCGTCTTGCTGGTGACCTCCATGGTCACCTCTGTGGTCTTTACTGGTCATGGTCACCAGTAAGTGGTGAGGGTGATGTGCCCTAGGGATGGGGCTGCAAACACCATGGAGCAGCAGCATCCCCACGGCAGAACTGGTTCATACTGGGACACCAGGATGCAGCTTCAGCTAAGGGGGTGCTCAGCTCTGGGATGGGAGTGCTGGGCTGGGGGTGCACTGGGGGTGAGGTCACTGTCTCGGCCCATCATTGTTCCTGCTCCAGCTGGGACATGCTTTGGTGGCAGAGGGACTTCCTGGGGGATTTGGGCTGTATCCCACCATATTTGGGGTCCTAAGGGCCCCCCCCAGCCCTGCTCAGCACAGAGTCACCGTGGTCCGTGGAGATGAAGCAGTGTGGGGCCACCTTGGAGAGGGCCAGGAAGCAAAGTCACAGGATTGCAGTGAGGGAGGTGTTGGGATTAATCCCTCTGCTTTAATTGGTTTATGTCAGTAATGAGCTACTCCTGGCAGTGCTGAGCCAGATGGTTCCTTCCCTGGGCAGCAGGATCCTCACGGAGCAGGTGCCAGGGAAGCACTTGGCGATGCTGGAGCCTGGGGAGAGGGTGACCCCGAGCCAGCATCACTGTGCCCCCATGTAGGATCAGAAATGGGGTAGGGTTAAAAATCCTGCCTGGAAAATGCTTCCAGTGGCTGCCACTGCTTTCCATAGGATAAATGGTGGCTGGTTCTGCCCAGGCTCCTCAGTGTGAGCTCCCTGAGGTCCCCAACACCTGCACAGGAAGTCCTGCCTGTGGGTCCAGCTCCTCTCCCTCTAACCCATGGAGCAGCTGGGACCTTGCCAGGCAGCCCTGGAGGTGGTCCTGCCACTCCACTGCCCGATTTGCAGTGGTCTCTGAATTGTCCTCCCCACTCAGCTCCCCCAAAAGCAGAGTAGGCGCCGCCAGCTGCTGCCTGTGATCCAAGGGCAGGGGAGGGATTCTCCTTCCCTCCGCCTGTCCCAGCGCTCCAAGGGCAGCAGAGGGTTCTTTGTGGGCACTGCTTTAATTGCATCGTTATTATCCCGAGTAAATGAGTCCTGGCAGCAGCTGAACCCGGCGGATGCCAACCACATCCCAGAAAGGCATCCGGGAAAGGTCAGCATCCAGCTGGCACGAGCAGGGCCGGGGACCTGGATGGGACCCAGGCACTGGCAGGTGCCGGCAGAGCCAGGGGGTCTCAGTGGGTGAGGGGGGACCAGGGGGGAGCCCAAACCCTTCCCATCTCACCCCCCTCCACCGCTTCTCCCTTGCAGACCGTCAGCATCAATAAGGCCATTAATGCGCAGGAAGTGGCTGTCAAGGAGAAACACGCCAGGAATATCCTTCCCAAAGCTGGCTGCGGCACAAGGAGCGTGGGAGCGGGGCTGGGGCTGCTCGGAAAAGGGGCAGCAGCAAGAGGGAGTGTGGGGAGAGGTGCTGGGGGTGGTGGGATGGGACCTTGAGGGGCTCTTGGGGGTGTTTCCACCATGGCACAGGTTCCCTGCTCCTGCTGCCACAGCATCCAAGTGTCAGGGGTGCCCAGGCTGGTGCTCCTGGCGCTGCCATCCCATGGGAGGGCTGGAGGGGAAGGTGCCCACAGCAGGTTGGAGTCCTGAGGTAAGGATGCTTGAGCACACTGCCACTAAAAGCAGATTCCCAGTATCCTGGGCAGGCAGCTGGGAAGGTTTGGTGGGGGCAGAGCCACGTGCCATGGTTTTCCCAGAGTGGTGATCTGGGGCTGGGGGAGAGGGGACAGTGTGTGCCACCCTTTGGGCCAGTGTGTGCCACCCTTGGGGACAGTGTGTGCCACCCTTGGGGACAGTGTGTGCCTGGGCTGGGCAGCATCAGCTCCCCGTGGTGGCCTGGCCCCCCTGGGCTCTGTGGGTACAGCTGGCCTTGAGTGGCCACTCTCCATCACCAAATGGGAAAAAATGGGAAGCCAAAAAGCATTTCCTTGACCATCCAGCACCGTGTATCCTGGGCACACACCACGAGAAGGGAGCCCAGACCTTCTGGTCAGTGGTGAACCGGCTGCCACTGTCCGGCAATGCCGTGCTCTGCTGGAAGTTCTGCCACGTCTTCCACAAGCTCCTCCGGGATGGACATTCCAATGTGAGTGCCCAAAGCTCAGCTCAGCCACTGCCCCGGGCCCAAATCCTTTCTCCCATGGGGCTGCACCGGGCAGTGGGAGATGCTGGTGGGTGGGTGCCCTCCTGGGGGTCAGTCCTGGGTGGGTACTGGAGTCGGAGCCTTCCTGGGAGATCAGTGCCCTCCTGGTAGCTCAGTGCCCTCCTGGGGGTCAGTCCTGAGAGGGCACCATTGCCAGAGCTCTCCTGGAGGGTCAGTACCTTCCCGGGGGCCAGTCCTAGGTGGGGACTGGTGCCAGAGCCCTCACATAGGGTTGGTGCCCTCGTGGGGGTCAGTTCTGCATGGGGACTGGTGCCAGAGCCTTCCCAGTGCTGCCCTGCCCACAAACCCCTGTGCTCCAAACCCCGGTGCCGGTGGCAGTGCCGGTGCCAGAGGAAACCGCTCAGTGCAGGAGCCACCAGTGAGGATCCTCCTGCTCCGTGTGTGGATGGGGAAACTGGGACACCTGGGACTGGCAGTGGTGACACCACCAGCAGGACAAAGGGCTGAGAATGCACCAAGACCTGCCATTCCTCACCCCAGTTGCCAGCTCCAAGTGTGGGATGTTGTTTCCTGGTGCTCTGCCTGCTGATTGCCACCGTCATTCCTCCAGGTCCTGAAAGACTCCGTGAGATACAAGAATGAGCTGAGTGACATGAGCAGGATGTGGGTGAGTGGCCACCATGGTGGGGACACCCCAGGGGTCCCTTGGCCAGGCTGGGGGGTTGGAGGCTCGGGGGATTCTCTCTCCCAGGACGATCCAGGGGCTGAGCACAGCCGGGGCTGACCCAGGGCTGCCATCACCTCCCTGGGGTGGGTTTGCTGGTCACATTCGTGTCCCCTCCCACCAAAATCGAAGGCCTCTTTCCCATTTTATGGCAAAACCCAGTAAAACCCGGCTTTGATGGTCAAAAGCCACATTGAAACGTGCAGAGAAGGTGATGAGAAGGTCCTGACCCAAAGCCTTTCAGCGAAGCCAACCTGCATCCAGGGGCTGGGTGCCAGCAAGGAGCATTTGGCTGTGGTTTTGGGGAGGTGAGGGAGGGGTCACTCGCTCTGCAGGGGGAAAAGGCTTTTCTGCAGCCTGCCCTGGATCTCAGCAGCTTTTTGGGGTCTCCAGGGCCACCTGAGCGAGGGCTACGGGCAGCTCTGCAGCATCTACCTCAAACTGCTGAGAACCAAGATGGAATTTCACACCAAGGTGAGCCCCCCCGTCCCCAAGGCTGCAGCAAGGGGTGACAGGGACAGGACAGGGGCTGGCAGAGCCTTTCCAACGCTGTCACCCCCTTGGGTCCTCCCCTCTGTCATGACCATCCTGCTGCCTCCATGAAACATTTCCCAAGCTGCCAGTGGCCATTAGAATTGGATCAAAAATAGCCCAAGGACCAGCATTTTGGGAGTGGAAGGATTCATGGTGGCCCAGGGTTTCTTGGGGACACCTGGGAGTTGGTGGGCTACAAAAAGCATTAAAAGACCCTCAGCTTTGGGGTGCACGTCCCCTCCCAGCTATCCTAGGCGGGCAGAGGTAGAAGAGCTCTGCTGCAAAGAGGTGTTTTCTGTGCCCATCACCCTGGTTCAGTTTGGAGGTGTGACATGACCTTCCCCAGAATGCCAGGGCTGCAGGAGGAGGCTTTGCCCCTTGGGGCAGATATTGTCTCCCAGCTCACAGCTCCTCCCTGCTCAGCAGGTTTCTCAGCCCAGGGAGAATCAGCTTTTCTTGCTGGGGAGAACACAAGCACCTGGATTAGGGATGCTGTGGTCACGCAGGGTTTGGAGACCTTGTGTTACCCCCCTTCCGCCCCCACATCACCCCCCTGGCACATCCAGGAGCTGACTTTGCACCGAGCCCACAGGATCACGGTCCGGGTGCTCCCAGAGCTTTGTCTGGAGCAGGAGATCCTCTGGAACCCTTTCCCAATTCCTGTTTCCCCACAGAATCCCCGCTTCCCTGGCAATCTCCAGATGTCCGACCGGCAGCTGGACGAGGCCGGGGAGAACGACGTGAACAACTTGTGAGTGCAGGGCAGGGGGAGGTGAGGGAGGGGTGGGTGCAGCCAGGGGGGCACCACCCAGCAGGGATGGGACCTTCCACCTGCCCCAGCAGAGCCCTGGGAAAGGCTGGTGCATCCACACTGGAGCACCCCTCATCCTGCCAGGGTGGGACCTGGCACAGGGTGAGGCCCATGGGTGGCCATGGGGACAGTCCCCCACCACCCTTATCCCTGTTTCCCAGTTTTCAGCTGACGGTGGAGATGTTTGACTACCTGGAGTGTGAGCTGAACCTCTTCCAGACAGGTAAGCTCCTGTGCTACCCTGACAGAGGGTGGGATGAGGGCTCTGTGGGGGTCCACGCCCTCCGTGGGGGGCTGAGCCGAGCTGGGGGGAGGCTCTGTGGGGGTGCTGGCTGAGGGCACCACAGCTCAGCTCTTCTGGGCACTTCACCTGAATTATGGTTCAACAAGGCTAAGCAGAAGGTGCTGCACTGGGGCAGGGCAACCCCTGGTATCAGTCCAGGCTGGGGGATGAAGGGATGGAGAGCAGCCCTGCGAGAAGGATTTGGGGGTGTGAGGAGATGCTCAACATGCCCCAACCACGTGCACTGGCAGCCCAAAAAGCCTCCTTTCTGCTGGGCTGATCCCACAGTGTGGGCAGCAGGGGAAGGGGGGATTCTGCCCCTCTGCTCCACTCTGGTGAATTCCCACCTGCAGAGCTGCCTCCAGCTCTGGGGCTCTCAACATCAGAAGGATGTGGAGCTGCTGGAGCAAGTCCAGAGGAAACCACAAAGGTGCTCCAAGGGCTGGAGCCCCTCTGCTCTGGAGTCAGGCTGGGAAAGCTGGGGGTGTTCAGCTGGAGAGAGGTCCAGGAGACCTGAGAACCCCTTCCAGTGCCTAAAGGGGCTCCAGGAGAGCTGGAGAGGGACCTGGGACAAGGGGTGGAGGGACAGGACAAGGGGGAATGGCTTCCCAATGCCCGAGGGCAGGGTTAGATGGGATATTGGGAAGGAATTCTTGGCTGGGAGGGTGGTGAGACCCTGGCACAGTTGGGCAGAGAATCTGTGGCTGCTCCATCCCTGAGAGTGTTCCAGGCCAGGTTGGATGGGGCTTGGAGCAACCTGGGCTAGTGGAAAGTGTCCCTGCCCATGGCAGGAGGTGGAATGAGATGGTCTCCAGCTGCTCCTGGCTGGTTTTGGAGCATCTCCTGCCAGCACAGCCAGCACACTTGACTGCCAGTGGGATGACAGTGACAGACAGAGCACAGGGGCTGTGTGTCAGCTCTGCCCAGGGACACTGCAGGAGTCAGGCCCAGCTGCAGGCTGAAGTGTTCCCAAGCCTGGGTGGGAGTCCTGGGTGGGAATTTCCCCTCCTGCTGAGCTTACCCCTCTGCAGGCTGGGTCCCCAGGGGCCAGTGGGTATCTTGCTCCAGCTGAATGTCTCCTGCTGTGGGTGACATTTGTGGATCTGGCAGACACAGCGTGGCACCCACCAGCGCTGCTGGTGCTCCCAGATCCCGATCTCGTGCTCCCAGATCCCGATCTCGTGCTCCCCCCCCGCAGTGTTCAGCTCCCTGGACATGTCGCGCTCGGTGTCGGTGACGGCGGCGGGGCAGTGTCGCCTGGCCCCGCTCATCCAGGTCATCCTGGACTGCAGCCACCTCTATGACTACACCGTCAAGCTGCTCTTCAAGCTCCACTCGTGTGAGTGTCCCCAGCGCCACCACCTTGGGCAGGGAGGGACACGGAGGGAGACACTGGGGGTCACCCCCCTGCTCAGGCTGGGCTGTTCGCCCCCATCCCCTTCCCAGCCTTTTTGGGGAGATAAAAGGAGTCACCAAGACAAGGCAGTGCCAAACCCACGTCCCTCAGGACCTGGAATTGTGGTGGCAGCTGCCTGGCCTCCGTGCTTTCCCCTTCCCTGGGGTGTGGTCCCCTCCTGCAGCAGGAGCATTCAGACTCCCAGAGGAGGGTGGCCATCTCCCATGTGGCTGTGCTGATAGCTTGTCCCTTGATCCATGAAGACACCCAGTGATGTTTCTGCTTGCTGCTTCTTCCAGGTCTGCCAGCGGATACGCTGCAGGGCCACCGGGATCGCTTCCTGGAGCAGTTCCGAAAGTAAGTGCCCAGAGCTGGAGTGCTGGTGCTCTGGGGGTGCTCCCAGGGCACAGAGATTGAAAAGCAGAGAGCAGGGATGTGCTGTGGCCTCTGGTGTGTGATTATTCGGGGCAGCCAAAACAAAAACTGGCCACTGAGAACAGGGGGAGGATGTCAAGGTGCTGAGGGACAGCTTGGTTCAAAACCAAGGTCACAAACTGCAAACAGCAGATATCAGGGCTGGCCGTGGGCTCTGACCCCCCCAGGGACTAACCTTGAGACAGGTATCAACATCATCGAGATCCCAGGTGGGGTGCTGAGGTGGTTGAGAGGGATGGGAGCCAGAACTGGTGTGGTTGGGCACTGCTGCTCCTCCCCAAAACTGGAAATCCTGGAGGGAAGTACCCTGCTCCTGGGGGAGATGCTCCTGTGGGAACTGAAGGTGATGAACTGTGGGAACTG